AGAACAAACAGGGGAAGCCGGAGGCTGGGCGTGCAGCTGGGAGGACAGAGAGGAGGCTGGGTGGGGTGCGGGTCGTCCATGAACCCCGGGAGAAGCTGCCGAGGCAGGGTCAGTGGGAGGTGGAGGTGCAGGGAGCTGGCTCCAGGATGGATGCCCGGCTGTGGGGCTTGGGCAGGTGGGAACCACGGAAGGGTTTAAAGCAGGGGAGTGACCTGGCTGGACTTCTGCTTTGGAAAGGTTGAGAATGGCTTGGGACGCTGTCAGGAGCTGCAGGGTGGAAGGTGGCATGGCTGGAGGCTGAGGGGCTATCTGGGGACCACGATGACCCTTCAGTGCAGTTCTGTTTTGGGACAAAAGCAGGCTGAGCGGCTCTCAAACCTCTGCCTGTGTAACCTCCTAAGATTCACCGGCATAGCTGCCCCTCCTTACCTGGCCTTCCTCAGGGCCTCCTGGGAGAGGACCTCCACATCCGACCCCACTCTGGGACCTGCTGACACCCTGGGGGTCTCAGCTGGGAGGAGGGGCTTCTGGGCGGCAGCTCTGACTCCCTGGGGGTGGAGACACGGCAGGTCCCACCTCTGCTCCTGGCTCTGAGCTGTAGACTGTGTCCCTCTGTGAGCTTCAGGTTCCTCATCTGTGAAATGGGCAAAGGACACTGCCTATCTTTGCTGTCACAGAAGCTGATCTGTGTCAGGCCTCGAGCTGGGCACACAGTAGGTGCTTACTAAGTGTGAGCTCTCCCAAACAGGAAGGCAGAGCCTGGCTCGCCCTTGCCCCACACCCTGGGCCCCGCCCCCTTGACAGCAGAGGATGAGGTGTGTGCTGAACGGTTCTCTTCACGACATCCTGCCCTGCTGGGCACCAGCCCCCATGCCAAGCATGGAGGGCACCAGGGAGAGAGGGGAGAGTGGAGGCTGGGACAGATGGCGCCCCGAAGTGTGTGGGTCACATCTGAATCAGGCAGGGTCTCTGAAGCCTGGCGCTGGGGGAGGTCGCCGACCTGTGGCCAGGGCAGGGCTGATAAAGTCCATCAACCGCCTGGCTGTCGCTCCCACCTTGGGCCTCTGTCCAGCTGCTTGGCCGCCTCTGGGAACCTCGAGAAAGGTAGGTAGGCACCTTGCTGGAGGGTGAGGGTGAGTGGGGTCTGGGCCCTGCCCACCTTGGTGTCCTTCCACCCTGGCAAACTGGGGCCTGGGGAGGCCCACTTCCTGTCCGATGTCACCCAGCAGTTGGGTGCTGGCCGGGGCTTTGGTCCTGGCATCTGGGTGGGGGGGCACTGGGGCTGGGCTAGGGGCAGATCGAGCCCTTCTTTGGCCCCAGTTTCTCCCAGGGGAAAGTGAGACTTTGCTGGCCTAATACCCTCCCCTGCCCATGGCCCAGCTTCCACAGTGGGGTGGGCGGGAGGCCCCTCCTCTCTCCCAGCCTAAAACCAGGAAAGCAAGCACAGCTGTGAAGGCTGGAAGGGGGTGTGGGCAGAGCCTGCCGTGGGGGAGCAGAAGCAGTCGAGGCTCAGCACCCCCGTGTCCCTGGGATCCCCCCATTCCCTGTGTCTGGGAGGGGCCAGAGCACACTGTGGTGGAGGGGGGGAGGGGGAGAGGCAATGGGTGGGAAACAGCGTTAAGAACCCCCCCAGTCCCCAGTTAAATATAGACCCGAGGCTCCTCCTGCTGCCGCCCCTGCAGCTGCACCGCCATGATAAGCCTCAGGGTGGCCTTGGCCAATGCCCTCAGGCCCCACACCAGCTCCGCAGGCTCTGTGACACCCAGGGCAGGCGGTGGGCTCCCATGGGGATCCCTGCCTTCCCCTTTGAGCCAAAGTAATCGGGCCTTTTGGGCTGACGGGGGGTGAGCTGAGGGACCCGGAGGGTAGTGAAGGGGCTGGTGGTGGCTGGGGAAGGGGGTCAGGGATGCAGGAAGGCCTAGACGTGGCTGCGGGTCCTGCCCTCGGTGCTGTGAGCTGTGGCCTGGACTGCGCCCCACAACCTGCACATCGACTCCCTCCTCCAATTCTAATGGGAGAGTCCTGCCTGGCACTGGGCACCTGGGGAGACGCTTTTTGGGGATGGTCTCAGGGAAGGCTCCTGATGGCAGCAGCAGTGCGTATCTCCATGCCCAGCTGTGGCCTGGCACACTGAGGGCTCTCACTGAGTGGCCTGGTGACGCCAGTGACGCTTCCTTCTGACAGCCTGAGGGCTGCCTCCTCTGGGAAGCCTCCCCTGACCAAGCCCCTGGGCGTGGCCAGGCCGCAAGGGCTGCACACATTTCCCGGTTCCCTGTGGCTGCTCCTGGGCAGCCTCCAGGCCTGCTGAGCCTCCTTCTTGCCCCCAGCTCGCCTGCTGCCAAGATGTCCTCACCGCGGACAGAGACTCCTGGGCCAGAACTGCAGAGCCCCAGGAAGGCTGAGGAGCTGCAGACTCCAGCTCACAGCTCCCGGCGAACAGGCAGCAGGAAAGAGCCCAGTGGCCACCGCGTCGATGGCACAAGGCTGGGCCTGGGCACCCTGAAGCAGGCCTTCTCCCGGGCCAGCCAGCGGGTTTCGACCCAGGTCTCCAAGGAAGACGCGGGTCTGCTAAGGCGAAGCTCCTGCTCCCTGTTCCGGTCCCTCCGGCGAGCCCTGGACGAGGGCCCAGCTGCCGGCCATTCCCAGGCCACTCCTGAGGTGCCCTCGGAGGTCACGAATGCTGTCAGCCAGCAGGCATCTCCTGGGGCAGCGTCTGAGGAACTGAAACCCGAGGCAGGTAAGGAAGGGCCTCAGAAACACTAAGCATGAAAGGAAATGGGCCAGAGGTCGGGGCAGCTGAGCTGAGGCTTCTGGAAAGGCTCTCCTCCCTAGCTCCCCAAACCCTGGCCCGGACACGGGCACTTATTTATTTATTTATTTGAGACAGGGTTTCACTCTGTCACCCAGGCTGGAGTGCAGTGGTGCAATCACAGCTCACTGTGACCTTGGCCTCCTGGGCTCAAGGAATCCTCCCACCTCAGCCTCCCAAGTAGTTGGGACTGCAGGCGTGAGCCACTGCACCCAGCTAATTTTTAAAATGTTTTGTATTATTTTTGTAGAGATAGGGTTCTTGCTATGTTGCTCAGGCTGGCCTCTAAGTCCTGAGCTCACCCAGTCCTCCTGCTTTGGCCTCCTAAAGTGCCGGGATTACAGGCATGAGCCACCGTGCCCAGCTGGACAATTGCACTTGAAATTCTTGCAGCATCCCTGCAATGGGAGCCCCCCACCATTGGGCAGATGAGAAAAGTGAGGCTCAGAGAGGTGCAGGGACTTGCCTCAAGTCTCACAGCATGGAGAATGGGACTTGAACCCAGGTCTGCACAGCCCAGATCCCCAGCCTCTCCATGGCCTTTCACCGCGGGCTCCGGGTCAAGCTAGGGCCATGTGCACAGCTGGTCACAGGGTTGCAGAGGGTGCAAGGCTCGAAGAGGTGCCAGGAGGAAGGTCAGGGGGATTGTCTAGAGGAGGACACACTGGGGGGGAAGAGGGGCCACCATAGAGGTGGAGGGCTCCTGTGGGGTGGAGGCTGGAAGAGAGCCGGGAGCAGCAGGAATGTAAAAGTGCACACGGGCAGGACACGCCCTGCCTGAGCTCTGACCTCATTAGACCTGCAATCAAGGCTGTGCATGAAGGTATCAAGTCCGGCTGAGCCGGGCGTGGGAGCCAGGCGGAAGGCAGGGCTGATAAATGGCTCTGTTCAGCCGGGCTTGGGGTCCCAGGTTCTGCCTTTTCAAAGGTGGCTCTAAGGGAGGGCTCCTGGCAGCTGCAGCCTGCTGTTCCTGGAGCAGGCCTTCAGCTGGGCTGGGGCATCGCGCAGAGGCCAGGCAGTCCAGCCCCGGTAGATGGAGACATGGCCTGCAGGTCTTCGTCCAGGTCGGGGGCTGGGGCGGTCCCTCTCACCGCCCCTCTTCTCGCCTGCCAGTGCAGAAGGCAAATCTGTGGCAGACCTCATTACTGAACGGCAACTGCTGGCGGCCTTGGAACAGCTTCTGCACCTGGAGACGCGGCTGGTGGCGGATAAAGCCTCGCGCACCTTTGAGCAGGACCCCACGGCCTTCGCGCGGCGCGCCATGGACGTGTGCCTGCATTACGACGGGCTGGCAGCTGAGATCGGGGCCATCGTGCGCGAGACGCTGGGCGCCGATGGCGTGGACGCCGCCGCGCTGGCCGAGCTGGCCCGCGTGGTGCGCGCGGAGGAGGAGGCCCACCCCGCGCCCCCAGACGACGGCGACTTCCTGCGCACGCCGCGCCGCTGGCGCCAGCACTGGGAGGAAGCAGTGAGGCGGAGCGCTCAGGAGCGCGTGCGGCAGCCGGGCACGCGGGAGGCCGAGGGCGCGTCGGGCCTGGCCCAGCTTCTGGCCGAGCTGGGTGGCTTGGTTCGCCGCGACCTGCAGAAGGTGTGGCAGGAGGTGCAGCCCGCGTACTCGGCGGCCGGCTTCCCGGCCTGGGAGGTCTACCTTAGTGCCTTCCACGGCGCTGTGGCCCAGCGCCTCCAGGAGCTCGCGCGCGATGCCCGCGGCTGCGAGCAGCTCTATCTCCTGCTGGACTGGGCGGCCAACGTGTACGGCAGGTGAGGCTCGGCCAGGGCACCAAGCGGCGAGGACGACTGCCGCTTCCCCCGCAGGCCTTGGGGAGCCCACTTTGAGGAGGGCAGGGCCTTTCTCCTTTCCCTCCCTGGGGGAGGGCTGAGAGCCGAGGATTTTGACATGCTTTCCTCCGCGAGTTAGTCCGTGGGGCGCTGCTGCCCCAGGTTTTCTAGGGGTCACCCATACACAGTTCCAGAATTTGGAAAGTTTCCGCGGGGAGGTTCCCACGGGAGCAAGGCCTGTGCTGGTTCACCAGGTGCTTTTGGGCGCATCAGAAAAGGGCACCTCTTGGCCAGGTGCGGTGGCTTACGCCTATAATCCCAGCACTTTGGGAGGCTGAGGCGGGTGGATCACCTGAGATCAGGAGTTTGAAACCAGCCTGGCCAACATGGTGAAACCCCATCTCTATAAAAATACAAAAATTAGCTGAGCATGGTGGCGGGTACCTGTAATCTCAGCTACTCGGGAGGGCGAGCCAGGAGAATCGATTGAATCCGGGAGCTGAGATCTCGCCAATACACTCCAGCCTGGGCAACAGAGCAAGACTCCAAAAAAA